TCACCATAGCCATCCTACAGCACCTGTTAAGCATTAGCTTTCTTGGAGGGTTAAGTTTGGATTACACGTTGTGTGATTGGATTGCGACACGCGACCTCAATTTAATGGACTGTGATTCACATTGACCCTCCAATTAGTCATTTACCGTTATGACAAAAAGCGTTGCCCATCGTGACCCGGTAGCCAAAGGGGTAGTAGTGTGGGCTGCTATTCAAATGGTCGTGGGTTCAAATCCTGCTGTCTCCACCTGATGAGATGAAATTACATCGAAACGCGTCGTGGCTGTGCAGTGTTTTCGGGTGGGCAGTACCCAATTTCCATCTACTTTGAATACGGTCCCAGTGATCGCAGTGACTAAGGTTCATTTCAATGTGAATCACAGTCCATTAAATTGAGGTTGCGTGTCGCAATCCAATCACACAACATGTAATCCAAACTTGACCCTCCAATTAGTCATTTACCGTTGTGACAAAAAGCGTTGCCCATCGTGACCCGGTAGCCAAAGGGGTAGTAGTGTGGGCTGCTATTCCAATGGTCGTGGGTTCAAATCCTGCTGTCTTCACCTGATGAGATGAAATTACATCGAAATGCGTCGTGGCTGTGCAGTGTTTTCGGGTGGGCAATACCCAATTTCCATCTACCTTAGCTTTCTTAGCCGTATAAAACCATTGTTCCGTTGTCAACATCTCCTTGCAGCCACGTCTCTTGAAGCATAATTACGACAAGCTTCGAGTATTCACGACAGCTAATTTTGCCTTTAATCTCATCCATTTTGCTTATAACTGATCGGACATTTGAGTTTATTATAATGGATATACTCATACTCCTCAACGTTTTCTTCCTTAGAGCAACCCTCCATCCAGCACGATGCTTTTTAGTAGAATTATTGTGTTTGTTATAGATTCGCTTCCATTTATCTTTTAAAGCTTACCGTGAAAAACCGTGACGCATATGGATTTTAAAATATCGCCTTGCAGGCTAGCCACTGTCAGTGACAGTGGAAGATAGGTAGTGCTATATCCCAGCTAGCTTGCAAATTATGTCGCCCAGCCAACGTCCTCCATGGCTCAGTGGCTTAAGCTGCTGCCTAGTTGGCATCTGCCTCTAGCGGTCATGGGTTCGATTCCCAGTAGGGGACCGAGGGTATGCGCACCACTGACGAGCCCCAATAGGGCGAAACGCGTCTGGTGCTTTTCCGGACTAGGCTCTGCTATGTAGCTTGTGAACTACTGGGATGAATGCCTTAAAAATTACAACTAAACTCCTGGTACTCAAGAGTAATATAAAATAAATAGCCTCTCCTTGTTTCAAATGCTATGGATGTAGCGTCTAGCAGCAAATAAGTGGAATACTTTTATCCAAGTTAAGATCTAGTTTAAGTGTAAGTCGGTGTAGCCCAACTGCGATGAAGAAGCATGATGCATACAACGTCCACTTCAGCATGAGACACTGTATGAGTACCAAAACATATTCAAGCAAATAAACTCGCAATCTGGACAGTAAATGTGCAGCAGACTGACAATACTGAGCAAATCAAAAAGTATATGAAATCTGACCTATTGTTAGGGTGATCTTTGGCAAGTGTAAGTGCACATCAAGGAATATCAACCGTCTAACCTCAAAAATGCGAGAAAAACGCACTCATTAGACATGAAATCTGCAAAGGATAAAAAGATGCGCAACTCAAATAAAATGGATTAGGTTTGATCTAGTGTAATGTTGATAAAACTAAGTGTAAGTCACACAGCCTAACTGCGGTGAAGTATAATAACAGCAATATACGTGGTTGGTGACATCCGGTTCCGGATTTGCCTGTCACTGCGGCGTCCATAGGACAACCACAAGACGCCTGCGGTTTAGGTCGTGCTGAAGTAGTCTGCAATTGTCTGGGGTACTAACTTTTCTCCAAATCTTCAGGTCGTCCGCAAACAGGACATAGGTCGACCGAAGAAGCTGGGGTAAATGGTTGATGCGGATGGGAACAGAGTGGGTCCCAGCACCGTGTCTTAGGGTAATCCATTAGTACATGGTACCAGTCAGTTAGGTGGCCGTCTACCTGGACCCTCCACTTTCGCCCAACGAGAATATCCTGGGTCCACCGGTGAAGTGATCCACCAACACCGCACACTCAGCTTGTGGAGGAGGGCTCATGATTTACCTCCTCTATGGCGGTAAATTGACCTTTTTGAGCGTGCTGTCTTTTTGAGGTCTTACTTACAAAGGACAGTTTTGGAACAGTGTTCACAAGTGTCATGCAAAAAGTTTGACTTTTGTCAAATTCCGCTTGATCCAAATGATTTTCGATCATCATTTTCCCCGGATTACGTCGTACCCGTTTTCGGGTACTTACCAAACGTCGTCTATCTTTTTCGGGTTCAGCCTCTGGCTATTTTTCCGGTATTCTTGTGTTTTGTAATCCGTTTTGCACCTTGTTTTAACCCATAACTGTTTCTGTTGACTGCCCTGCAGGTAACAGCTTGTCGGTTTTACGTTTTGATACTTGTTCCACTCTCTTTGAAAGCGTCATGTCGAATTCACTGAATACCGGCTCTAATGTGTCTTCGGCTGCGCTGATCAGCGAATCTAATCCTGTATGCTGCAGCGGGAGCTGCTCAAAGCCCGTAACGGACGAGTCTGGTGGAATGCAGTGCTATGTATGCAACTGTTGGTACCATGAGACCTGTACCGCCTTGAGCCCTTATCAGTACGCAATGCTTTTGACTAGCGATAGCATGCTGTTCAATTGTCTTCTATGCCGTCGCCGTCGATCTACGCGTCTTGAAGTCACTAAAGAGATATGGAGCAACGTCGGGCTGGGTAAACATCAGTTGTGGTCTTTCCTCACATCTCTTGATCGGAAAGTGGAGTTACTGATAAGGAAAATGGGAGTCTGTATTGATGTCGGCTCATTGGAGGAAGACACACAACTAACCTCAATTGCGGTCGATGAAAATCCGGCTGAGGTGATGGCTACCGTGTCGTGTGTTCCAGCGGTTCAGAATGCCTCTAAAGAGGCCTCTGATGTCGTACTGGATGCCGTCCAAAGCAAGACCGAATTTATAGCACCAGTACCCAATAGAAGCAAGAAGAAAAGGGCTAAGAAAGTCCGTAAGGCTCCCTCAAAGCCTAAAGGTACTGAAACCATTAAGGTATTGGAGGTGGAGCACAAAGCTCCAACTCCAATCACCCCAGTTCCACTGGCGAAACAACGCACCGTGTCGACTTCGGCCACACCCGCAAAGTCTGAAAAGACTAGACCGGTGAGAGAGTTGTAGAACACAAAGCCTCAACCTCAATTAGTCTAGCTCCCTTGGCGAAGAAACGCGCCGTGTCACCTGCGAAACCGGTCGCAACTGGGGTCGACTCGACTGGTGGAGTGAATACGCCTCGTCGAGTTGATTCTTTTACTGATAGTAGCGTTACCTTTCGTAACGTTGATGAACCTGAGGCAGCTCTTCCAAAGGAACGCATGCTGGATGACCTCCAGTGGTTCCAGCTCTGCGTCAACAAGATGCTTCCACCTGGTTTCCCCTTTGTCACTATCATGAAGCTAAGCAGATTGGCGAACGTCCCTGTAGATACGCCAAATCCGCGACCCCGACTACTTCATGTAGTCCTCTTACGGGTTGAAGCTGCACAAACTGCGTTCTGACCGGGTAAGGACGGCAACTCGCTTGTCGCGCCGAGTTATTGAAGGTTGGAACTCGCTTCCGGAGCAGATCGTTAGGAGTCTACAGTAGAGGGTTTCGAGCGTCAGTTAGATGCTCTTGGGTGACAGTACCTAATCTTCCCTTCTCCTAACCGACTTGTATCTTCAACTTTCCCTACTTTTTAAATTTCTTCTCACACCTTGGTATTGTCATTATTTAGCTGACATTCCTCCTCTTGTTTTCTTAGCTTACCCTTCACTCTTTTACTTCACATAAACTGGCCTGGCAGGGACTGCTGGGCAGGAAAATGTGGGCAGTAATTGGTTGGACAGGGTGTGATGCGGTCTTTGTTTTAGGCTTTTCAACATCTCAAGTAGACCTACCAATTCACGATCCGACGATACGCAAAAGAAGGAACATTCACGAGATTACCCTGTCGTTCCGGTCCCAACTGAACTTGAATTCAAACGCTTTACAGAAATCGATGTAGATTACGTTGACAGGTTTCCGCTGATTCACTACCTGCAATCATTCATGACTCGTCACTAACAGGTTGGTAATACATAAGCGGCCTAGCATAAAATCATGCTATAGTCGTGCTTTTGATTAAAGCAGTTGTAGTAGACTCTTCTTCACGAGCTTCTCTGCAACCTTGGCCAAAATAGGTGTCAGACAAATCAGCCTGTAGTTGTCCACTTTGCTGGGGTCTCCGCATTTTGGAATCTGCTTAACCACCGCACGGAGATGGTGGCCGATAGGGACTTGGCAGTCAGTGGGTGGAATCCATCAGGCTTGGTGCCATCAAGGTTGGGGAGTAGTTGTTGCACCTCTTCAACACCGAAAACCAGACTGTCGACTTCGGTAAGTCCGTACACATCGAACTCGGTACAAACACCTGGTCATTTGCAAACAGTGAACCGAAGTGCGCATCCAATGCGGAAGCACCTTCAGTGCTGGATGTTAGGTGTTGTCCATCCGAACCCTCTAGCACTAGCATATCACTTGCTTGCTTGAGGTGCCACTTCACTTGAGCAAATAAGCTTTTCGCAGCGGTCTTTGCAACAATCTAACGAATAGTCAGAGCCAAACAAAACGATGAAAATCACTGGAAGAAGATAGGTATAGTCACTGCATCAGCATCATTGCACATTAGCTGAATGTGAGCAAACAATTCAGCTCTTACGCCGAAATAAAAGAAAAAGGGAAGGATTTTGTTATTTCGCGCACGTCCTTTATCTTTTTTGTATTTTTCGACTGTTAATTATTAAGCATCTGGATCTAAACAAGTAACCATTGTGCATCATTTCCTAAACTGCTTCCGGCTATTCGCACTCCTCATTTTTTGGTCAGGACCCTGGCAGACGTGTGGATCCAAGGACGACAAGACGTGAAATCAACGATTTTATATCCTGTCGCCAGGTGGACGGCTGACCAACACCTGCACTCTTCCAACCAAGTTCTGCACGAACGAAAAGGGCACAAAGGGGCAAGCGCCCAGATGACGTTACCGAGCCATCTTAACTGACGCAGCAAAACCAGCTTGTTGAGGGGAATGCTCACGTTCCCATCAGTTAAGAAATTCACCACCTCAATCATGCTTACGTCCAAACAATTCTGTGAAACAATAATTGCCGTGCGATTTGGCATAAGCTGAAACAAGTTAGTAGAGTCACTCATCATAGTACGAACTCTGACTTAGACATAGAAGAATTAAATCGCAACTTCTGCTGCTCCAGCAGTGACTCACTCCCCAACTCGTCATCTGCTCAGATTCAGTGGCCTACAGACTCGTCGCCAGTTGTTGATATTGCAGCACTTCACAGGAAGCTTACCCAACTAAACTCAAGCGGACCTGACCGGTTGTCTCTTTTCGTCCTTAAGGAGTGTGCAGCTTCACTAGACCAACCGATAGCTAAGTTATGTGCTATGTGCCTAAACCAAGGCAAGGTCGCCGACTGTTGGAGAGCTGCTAGCATAACACCAATACCAAAGAAAGCGACAGGTAAATATCCACCTATTGCGTGTACTTCAGTGGCTTTAAAGGTCTTCGAAAAACTCATTCTTGAAAAATTACTAACCCAATCCTGTCTGAATGACGCACATCGATTTGCATACTGAAGTTCGAGGTCGACAAAAGACACTGTGTAATCGTCGCTAGACAGCAAGAACAAAGCCACACGAGTATGCTTTCTCGACTACATCAGCGCCTTCGGTTGTGTTAACCGTGAAATCATTGTTGCAAGATCTCCTGGCTTCTAGTATCCAACTACCCATAGCCTTTTTGCTACAGAATGTTTTTGCCACAAGTACTCAGATAACCAAGTTCAACGGCAGGAGCTCCTTGCCTCTTACCACTACTTCCGGTATTCTTCAAGGAGCCATTTTGTCGCGATTTTTATTCTCTACCTGCGTTGGCTCCACCGCTGTCCCTGAAAAAGCCATAATGCTAATACGCCGATGACATACTAATCGGCGCGAATCATCTACCTTCAGCCTCTTCGACCATGCTACCATGTTGCTTGGATAAAATCGTGCATTGGTCAGTCTTCCGTGGCTTAACGCTGAATACTTCCAACTGCAATGATGTACTGTTTTCGCTGCATAAAGCAGGTCGTTACCAGAAACTCTTCACCGACTGTCCCCAACTTCACATCAGTCATGAAAGCCTGAGCTTCTCGACGTCAGTGATATATCTTGGAATCACACTGAGCCATGATTTATCGTGGTCAATCCACGTGAATGAAGTATTCACCAAAGTCAGGCGACTGTCGTTTTATGTCTCAGGTTTTCGTTGATCCTGCGATTCATCATTGCATGTGCTCTGCCACACTGGACCTACTCTTCTGTGATCTTCCCGGGCATACTGGGTAAGTATTTCAAACTACTTCATAGGTCGCTAAACACGTAATGCAGTGGCATTTCTAAACCGATCTTAGTTGAACACATTGTATCTGTTCATGTTATGAGGAAGTGACAGGCTCCGATTGATTCTAGCCCACTGTAAAAAGCGTGAACAAATTGATTATTTTTTTTGCGATCTTGTTGTACACATTGATCAGACCACATAGTTGGACTGCACCTCGAAACACCGAGGAATATAACATTTATCATTTATCATTTATGTGCTCTACCACACTGGACCTGCTTTTCTGTGATCTTCCCGGGCCTACTGGGTAAGTATTTCAAACTACTTCATAGGTCGCTAAACACACAATGCAGTGGCATTTCTAAACCGATCTTAGTTGAACACATTGTATCTGTTCATGTTATGAGGAAGTGACAGGCTCCGATTGATTCTAGCCCACTGACATCGAATGTATGATGCTGTAGCTTTTATATATATATATATATATATATATATATATATATATACCGTCCGTCGGTAAATATACAAATTTATTTATTTATTTATTTATTGTCCCCTTAAACTGGACGTTCGCGAAAGATTTTGGACATTTTCAGACCGAACTGGACACATTGGATTGTTAGTAGAAAATCGGCAATTCGTTAGCAAGAAATGAGGAGTAAGGTGACTGGACGATGTTCAGACCACACTGTAGCCATGCTAATACAACCGAAGTATGTAAGCAGGGGGTGTCACTGCAAACCATTCTCATGATCGTGAGCCCCGGTTACTTCTATCTAAGGCGGTGGATAAGTTCCCCTTCTCTCCTCCACGGTCTTCGCATAGTTTTTGTGCTTTGCCTGTACACATGAAGCTGTGTAGCTCTGTGACTATTGGAAAATCAGACTCGAGAACCGTGTACTTTATTGAACTATGAATATATACGGGTTAAAGTGCACTGGTAAACTTGATCCACTGTGACTGAACAGAAAAATAGTAACCTTTTCATCTTCTTTGATACAATTACCCAAAAAATACACTCCTCACACCCAACAGTGCAACCAGAAATGTCAATGTATCGCACTCGAAATAATAACAACAAAGTAAAAGTGAAAAGATCTCGAAAATCTGTCCGACGACGTTTTCCTTAACCGACACTCCATACTATGGAAGAGACTTCTGTGTGAGATCCGTGAAATCCAGTCAGGGATAAAGTTCCGACACGCCATACATTCATTTCTAAACATAGAAATCGCGATTAGTATACTGTGACCTACCATGACAAATGAATCTCTGTACGAAATTGGTGCAAGATGGATATAGCCTCAATAGCTGAATACTTCTTCTTTCTATTCTTGCCAGACCTTGCTACTCTCCCCATATTTATCAGTAGATATAAGCTGTTATTTAAAGAAAAATACATCCTGATTACCATGAAGTTCACTCTTATTAAAGCGGAAACATATCCTAATGTTACTTTCTAGCAAACTGCTTCACAATTGTTCTGCAATACTAATCATTTTCTACCTTTTCCTTGAGCCCACCCCTTAGGCACTATCTGAAAACCTACCAGGATCATCCATGTTCACGATCACTCTGAACGCTTACCTCTTTCAAAGTCAACTTCTCCTCTTACCGAACGCAGCTAAACTGTTGGAACAACAGTAAACTTGCTTTACATGACACACAGTTTTTTCCCTTCCTGGAGACAATATTTTGTGTACCTACGGTATTTCTCAGGACCATAAAAATTGATTTCACATCACCAATCTCCCAAATTTGATCTGCAACTGTTGGAGCCATTCAATTATATCCTCTGAACATTCCTTAGAAAAAGCAGTTACATTTCTGAGGGTTTATGTCTCCAGTGATAATTTGTACCACCTGTATCGGACAACTTCGGACAAATCCCCTCATTTCCTACTTACTGTTACTTCATTCCTCTTCTATTTGTTTATTTCTCCCCCACAAATATGGGCCACGACTGGGCCGATCATCCCAGATGATGGATAGATGCTTTCAAAAAATGCAGTACACTCATGCAATGCGAATTATCACGAGCTCACTGGCGAATATTAAAACTGCTGGGTTCGAATTAGCTAAATGATGGTTGTATGATGGGGAGAGCTTAACATATTACACAGGTCCCCACATAAATTTATACATATTTATGTATAATGTGTCACCATGATGATGACAAAATTGCATCTGGCAACAGCCAAGTAGCAATTAAAAAACGAGTCAAAAATATCATTGCCTACTTGCTTTAAGCCAAAGTAGCACATGGCCAGATGAGATGTGTAAGTGAAGTGTGGAAACAGCTCTCCGGGAGACGGTTCAATGAGGGGTCGTATTGCTTTACTTGTACTGACGGCCATATATACTTTTATTCCTGCTCTCCACTTATCCATCTTTTGCTACGTTTAAATGATTAAGCACCTCCAACACTTTATTGAAAACAACAGCTCTTGAAAAATCCCTCCACTATCCAACCTTGTTGTACCCAATGATCAGGCTGGTATTTTGCCTGTGTGTCGCATGTCGGGAAATATATCGTTTATTTATTTATTTACAAGTCCCGATGGGTGGTCTGGTATTGTCATTAAAAAGCAGTACTTCAAGTATGACAACGAAGATTTATCGTTTGTTGTACTGTAATCCTTTCAATCCGCGTAGTCTCACAGCACCAACCGATAGCAGCAAAATAAATCCATGATATATTCCACGGGTAGCATGGAGATATGGTGCTAACTATCAAAGTCTAACTGGATCAGTGCGTCACCCAACCGTCTTTTAATCATGGCAGGGGTCGTTGCAGAAACCACTGATTCAGACGGTGTTCCACGGAGGACACATGGGAATAGGAGAATTTTCTGCGGAAATCAGTATGCCTGTACTGTAGTCCCAGTTTCATTGAGTGACCTCTCAAGTGCGTACTTTTGCTGAGTTCCAGTAAGGAGCGTCATACATGGTTTGTATTGCGTACAAGCAAGCAGGCCATTATGAGATCGCCCCGCAAACCGCGATATCGTCCGCTGAATACTCCCAACCGTTTCACCCTCTGCTAACTTGGGGATTACGCATTCTATTGATGTGTTGGAAGCCCGATGTTGAGGCTGCCCCAGTGCATTAATGCCGTGTTTCAACCATGGATCTAAGGCTGGGAATGCGTATTTGACATGGGGCGAACATGCGCGCTGGTCATCTGTCGGGAAATGTAAATGTCTATTCGGCAGAACGCCTGTCACAACAGTCTGACGTGTTGATTACCAGCTTTCGAGGCCTTTTCCGATTACCTGGAGCAACCTAAGTTCTCCTGCACCAGCACACCCAGATCACGTTCGACAGAAGTTCGCTGCAATACATGCTTTCTTATCCTGTGGCATTAGGTATTCTGGCGTCGTGGGGAGAGTACCTTGCATTTACTCACGTTGAAATACAGTAAATTTAATTGACCAGCGATGTACCGTGTCCAGGTGATACTGAAGTAAATGTTGGTTGACATCCACCTGAACCCTGCGCCATGTCTTGAGGTAATCAGTAAGCAATAGGAAACCTGTAGCGATTGCCTGTGCGAGGTCATTAGTAAACACTAATAACAATTGTGGCCGTAGAACTGCATCTTGAGGCACATTGCACTCACCTAGTATGGGGTCAGATAAGGAGCTCCGAACCCCGACTACTGAGTATGCGTCGGCTAGACTCCTGCATGGAACCATGCGTGACTGCACATCATTGTGTCTGAGCCTCGTGATCGTGACACACTGTCTGTGAACTGGTGCAAGCACGCACACGCAGTGGGAGGTGAGCAATGAGACGGACTGACAAATATCACATGAACCCTGAGGGATAAACGGTTTATTCGTCAGAAGTCAATCAGTGAAAGAGACAGCATACACTTCAGATATCCTGTGTCCTCTCTAGTATCGCCTTTACTGCGCTCGGTTTCTCCTGATTACTCTTCCTATCAGGAGCTTAAGGGCACTATCTCGGAACTTCATCGTAAGAACATTTTTCTATCGCTCTGGGACACCGGGTAATAGTTATCTCCACATATCCTCTGACAAAGTCACTTCAGGTAGCACTCAAGATCCGTGATCGTAGCACCGTTGTTGAACCATCATCCGTTTCCGTAAGCCTGTCATTCTGCTCTACAGGTCTCTCGTTGGGGTGACAGATACTCGAGGAAGGGGTGTTGAATTGCTCCTAAAACACGAGGTAAAGGTCCTCCTAAATCAAACAACGAGCGCCTCGGCTTGCCTCACTACTGTTACTGGCTACTGGCTTGTCTATTAGAGAATAAGGTTTCACTTAGCGTTGCAAAATACTGTTGGAAAGCAGTCCTTCCAGTATTTCATACCGGACGAACTGAAGTCCGAATTCGTTAGTTAGCATTACTGTTGTGTTGAGGCTCAGCGAGTCAGTTTCGAGATATCCACTATGGTAATTCACCGTGAGTGAGTGGCTTATAACGCTGTTTGCAGCAAAATCGCCGTCAGCTTCCACAAGGTCGTTTGAGAACGGTCTACAGCATCAATGCTGCCTCTGTCTAGCGAGATGAGTGAGAGCAACTAGCTATGCACTTTGACGCACTATCCATGAGTTGACTAGTCTCCCCGCACCGGAATTTAGTCACCTACCTTATTGAGCCCGTGGTCAACACCCAGTTGTATTAGTAAGGAACAAGTACACAGCGATGGCGGGATCGTAATGCGATTCACCATGGAAGGCAAATCATCATAGACCGCGGGTTCATCATGAACTTTGAGACACAACGTTCCTTCCCTCAGCATTTGACTGCTTCTAGTTATGCCTTTTAAATCGCGCCTATTAACGCTGCGCACTTCGTCTGACCTTGTATGATGTCCGATCTCTCTCTCTTAGTTCTCCGATTACTACCAGATATCACACCAGATTTATGTGTTAGTAATGATAATCCATTCTCCGTGGATGAATTCCTAACAGCTAATATGCCATGAACAGCGGTGTGTCCAGCTTGGGCACAATATCTCACCATACTTTAAATGTTGGATACACATACACTACAGACATATTGGCACGCTGTGCAATGGTTTGTTTGCTTAGACAGCAGCGGTTTATGAACCGTACAAATGATGGCTTTTGGTCTAAACATGTAACTACTGAAACGCTTCATTTGTGGATGATTGCACATATCTCTTCAGTTTTCGCATAACTGTAATCCGTTACTATGAGATTGCGACAATGGAAGTCCAACTATTTTCTTTCCTACATCAGAACAGCACTTATACCACCCTAGCAGATGTCACACTGGACCATAATGTTGAAGTTATGGCGCGTTACCAACGGATTTTTCAGTTAAGTCTTCAGATAAACGCACCGTGAAGAAGCCGGTGGAATTCGCAGACGGTGAATCCTCGTAATCTCCTCATGCAAACAGGTCTCAGTGACACAAAGCCAAGTATAAAAAACGGGGTTTACAAAGCTAGGATGAGAACTGTCCTATTTTATGGCTGCGGTAGCTGGCCAGTTCGGATTACAACCTTTTCTTCATGCGACCCTGATATAAACGGGCCGACTCTTGCCGAAACGCAGTCGTTGTTTTGCTTTTTTATGGGCTGCATAAGATGGCCTTACCCAGTGCTAAAGCATAGTGAAAACTCACCTTGAATACAGGTTCGCTCTCAACCTGCTCACAGGACACTGACACGGGCCTAAATAAGTCTAGCATTGTTAAATACTGTCTCGTTGCTTCTGGATCGCCTGCGCTGTGCTCTGATTATAGGTTCTTATTAATAAAGTATTCAAAACAGATTCGGATGTGACAGTGGGGTGGCTCTAGCTACCGCTAATCTCCTTCTTTGACGCGCTCGTGATGATGTTCTTTAACCGTTCTGTTTTCCAGTCCATAGTGTCAATAGAAATGGACAATGGGGATTGGGTCTGGGACAGATCAATATATTGCGAATGAAAAGCAGACGTTTTACACCTACAGCAAGGTGGTCGGTTGGAGCGTTCATAAAGAAAACCAAAGGCAACAATTAACAGTGTACTCGCTGAATTTACAGCCAACTAGTTCACCAGAGGTAATCTTCAAAAAACGATAGTTACTTGGGTTTTGTGGTCAGTGTTTTCAATCCCTCCTTGTATGCTTTGATAATAACCAATGGTTTCTGGAAGGGATCCAATACACGTATTTGTAATATGGCCATTGAACTCCCAGTAAGATTGGTAGACGAACATCCGCTTTTGACCCAAAATCCGTCAGGTAGTGAGCCGGTCTAGTTTGATGTGCTTCATCAGCCTGCTCCAAAGATCTTAAAGCTCAGCACAATCGATCCATACTTCAGCTTGTCAGTACCGATTCTCTGCGGCTCCACCAGCTTTTCTACACTGATGTCATGCTGTGTGGGGAGTGCGCTGTGCTGTTACCTAGGCTGCCAATAAAAAGCTCTCGGTACAATTTGTTTGAACAGAGTGGTTGGATCATTAGGATGCCGTGGGGTGTAAGGTACACCAATACTTACCGCACATCTTTGTATGTAGCTGCATTTTGTGCGCAGGCTCATTTGTGTCGCTTGCGCTCGACAGCTAAACAGACTCATCACTGTCTACTCTGAGTGGGTGTAGCACTCTTGTCACGTGTCAACATTAATACACAACTAAGAACCGCACGTCTGAGTTTTCGCGTCGGTTACCGTTCTTGACGTGCGCGTATCCACAACCTAGTATTGAAATCCCGTTCACCGACCTTGCGCACAAGTTGAGCGGCCGTCAGCTAGTGAACGCGAAACATGGCCACTGAGGCCTTGCAGGAATTGTTGAGAAGACTCAATATCGAACAAAGTGATTGTTTGGATAAAACTGAGTGGGTGAAGTTGTGTTCACAGGACACTATCAATATATCATCCGAGCTGGCCGGGGCAGTTTTTGACGGCCTAGATAATGACGCCGATGGTCAGGTGTGTATATCAGATATCATGAAGGAGATAAAGGCCTTCGAGGCGGCTGCAGAAGTAAACAGCATCCCCCGCACTCCTGACCCGAGAACATCTTCCACCGATTCCAATGCACCCATGAGGACAACTCCAAGTCCAGTGCCAAACTTCAAAGGTCCTAGGTTTCGTCTCCCAGAAGTCCGCGAGTCGAGACGAAAAGGAAGAGTATTTGGCCGTGGCACATTTTCCAGACAGTCTCCCACAATCCACCTGAATGATTCCGGTGACAGTTTCATTACCAAGAAAGAGCTTGGAGAGGATGGTTCGGAGGTGTTTTGCACCACACCCGCTCCAATAACTCCCAGGTAAGTGACCTTCTTTGATTCATTTATTCGGACCGACACCCTTCTCACAGATTTACTTCCTTTGATGGCTCGTTGCATCACAGTGGATTCAACACAACCTTTGTTCACTTAGAGTTGGCACACCAGACGGATCGTCGTGTGTATCATGTACATACGACGGTCGTCAACCCCCTTATACATCCATATACATCCGCATTACTTCAGATCGGCATTCCCATCCAACGATCGCTTACTGGTATTCAATGCCCCTAAATTTAATCTTTCTCGTCTGTACAAACTTATTGTTCATGTGGCTACTCTCAACCGATCGTTACCCGCCGGGATAGACGCTTTAAAGCTCTCAGCTGTGCGGTCTAGTGTCCACACCCGCTGCGTCTTGTTTGCTTACCTGATCCAAATAGTTTGTGTGCTTTTATGAACGGAATGCGCCGCTGTGGCTTGCTTTCCAGGTGGAGCAGCAGCAACAGTCCAACAAGTTTTCTTCATCTTCTACAGCCTTACACGATACTTGTCGCACGTTGTACCAAATATTCACGTCGTCCCACCTCAGGGGTACACCTTTGTCCAACTAGACAGGCTGATCGAATAAGCGGGTTTTTCGCGAAATTTCTTATTCAACAAACCGTGCTTTCTGAACCCACACGTCCAAATGGCTCATGCAACACACTTGCAACATCGCTGCTTGTAATCCTATTGACAGTATCCAAGTAAAATAATGAATGCCTCTTAACTAAGTGAGAAATAAGGATGGCAACACCGGCAAACGTTCTTCTCCAGAGTACTTCCGATCGAATTGTTCCGATCGTACCAAGAAGTTTGCTGTATCCGATGGAACATCGTTAACAATCTGAGTCAAATACGCATTCCCTATTCAAAGGCAGCATCCGAATTCGATTGCGCAGTTACCGTTGATGAACATACAAGTAACTAGCCTGACCCGAATAGTGAATGCAATAATGTTCGAAGCACAACTCAGCAACATCTAGTGCCCTTCACTCTGACAGGCTGCTTCAAATGTGTAGACGGCACTTGAAATCCCTTGCGCTGGAGTTGGTCCTGATGACGGAACAGCACTTCCACCTCACTTCGCTCTTTTCACTGAGGAACACTGTCATACTTGCACCCTGTACCGAATTTATTGTGCAGCTGCTATAGATGTCCGCTTTGCTTTAATAGCGCGCGTATGTTCACCTCTACAACAGATCCTGTGAACACTACTCTATGCACCATACTTCGCCAGTTCAGATGAACTCAATCGAGGCGACCTGAATTAATTTATGTATAATCTTTTGTGTTTGTGTTGTTCGGTCCCTATTCGCCTGGCGCTCTAATCCACCGGCGAAAATAAAATCTCAGGACTCGGCTGCGAGTGGATATTCTGTGTTAAAACACGATTGCCTGTGTGGACCAACCTTAGGTTCCAATACGGCATCGTAGTGTTGCGATCGCCTAAGGTTTCGCACCATAGATTGGGAAGGCGTATCGTCCGGCTGATTTTCTACAGTGCACTGTGGTAAGCGGCCAAACCGGAGAACCAGTTTACCAGGCAGAAGCATGAGTACGGGATAGGCTTTTTGGTCAGACTTGGAGCTCCTCGCGAGAGTTGAAACATGAGAACCGCTTTACCAAGGTTGAACAAACGAGTGTCTGGCCGGAGTGTGAGAACGGAGGTGGGAAAGCCGTTTGGCCGAACATCATGCATGGGGAGGGGGACAGTTTGAACACCACGATCAGGACTGCTTGGCCAGTGTGAGATGGTCCGATTGGAGGGCTGCAATGAAATACAGGGCCAAGAAGGTGCTCGCCGAACCCTCTATTGAAACGTTCTGTAATGTTTCTGTAACACATAAATAGCGCTTAATTCTTATTGTTAATAGAGTCTCACATGCCGCGCAGTCCGAGTTCTCCATATCGAGAGCACATCACGACATGCACCATATTTGACCATTCATTCACGTCCTGGCACAGGCCCACCGGCCACCAACGGTGAGCATCGGATTTCGTCAGGTGCTCAGCTCGTCGTCGCGGGCCACCTTTGATCAGCTACTCACGCGCCCTGTCATAAGCCTACTCATAAGTGCCGGGTTAAGTTGTTTTTCGTGTGATTCATCACAGGTCTGTCTGTGCTGTCTGTCTGGAGGTACGTCATTCTACGGTACGCAAGTATTTGCTCCGCTTGGTCACCTACTGGTTGAGCCGTCACATTGCTTAACTCACCTAAATACTTAAATTTATTTTCTTAATATACAGGCTTCCCCAACCATTAGCCATATTTTCCACCATTGAGCACTTGCTTGCGTTTGTCCCAGTGAAGGAAGGGATGCTTCAAGTGAACCACTCACGCTCAGCAAACACGGCTGTGCCTGCGAGGCGGTACACATTAGTGCACCCGTTCAATCAGACATGGAAGCAATCGAATCAACATGTATCAATAGTTTATTCGAACGAGTAGAAGAATTGACACCTGTATCCGCGCACCTTTCACCATCTACGTCATCAAGTTCAGTACTGCCTCCACGACACGCAGCACCTGCCTGTATAGATCGCTATCGGTAGATTGACACAACTGTCTAGTAGGTAGAATCACTTCAACCCGATAACTAACAACACCTGCCTCTATCACGTGCTCGTAATTTCATTCTTTTGTGGATCTCAGATGTAGGCTGACTGGTTCACCATAACTTGGTTTCGCTTTCTTCGGTTAATCCATGGTGAGCCCATGCTTCTCCGAATGAGTCCCATTCGATGCCTAACATGCGACGCCTCTTGTAAACGCTTGGAACTCTCTCAAGTCACATGGTGCATTACACCAGATACAGTCCACTGCTTGTTGGTAGAGCCAACCAAAATGGTTATAGTGTGTGCAAAGTTTCTCAGGTATTGGTGCAATTAAGTGGGTAGTTTTTGTGTTAGTTTTAACTCGTGTCTTCTTCAAGACATTCACTTGGCTTCGCTAATGCACTGGTGTCTCTTGCAAGTTGCAAAAACAGTCCGTTAAACGGGTTCTTCAGTCCATGTGAGTTTATGAGTCGGTTACTTATACAGAGCTCCCACTGTCCAGGATATGCTCACATCATACTATTTACAGTTTTCAGATTTTGATGTTTCTGCTCCACTCCTAGCTTATAACCAGTGAATGACACTGCAACCAACGTTCAACACGACTGACTTTCACTGGAGGCCAGCTATGTGGCCACAGTTATGTCAGTGTCAGTGCTGAGGCTGACTATACCTATGTGGTGCCTTGTTGCTTCAGCTAAGCTCTACGTAAATGATCGTCAAAAGCTGCTTTGTGCTTGATTTCCTTGTTTTCGTGACATGTCAGGTCTGGCTGTGTACACTGCGGATGTCGACAAGTTGTCCAATTGTTATTTGCTCGTACCTCTAGGACGGATTTCAGTATACTGTCAAGGGTCGCTAGCGGAGTGCATGGTCTTGCGGACAATGCACTTGACCAATTTTACATCCATATGTAATTAACATGTGCAGATGTCGTTCGAAGTGGATGCTTAGCAACTAAGACTACACTGTGCTCCGCGTTACATCTGCGACCTCTGGGTACCGTAGTTACCATCAAGCACAATCACTAAGATTCAACTTCCCAAGCACATGTTGGGGATAACCCGCCCCCCCCCCGTTGACGAGCTTGTATCTCGATTACCTGGCTTCAATTCTCGTTTGTATGATTTGTCCTGACTGTAGAGATTGCGGGGGATGCGTCACAACATAATCTGTATTATTCTCTATATGACTGAAATTACTTAGACGCTCAACATCGGAAAACAACTGTTGGTGAAAGATGCTGCCGGGCTCCGGTTCATCCTCCGATCCACTTCCCTTTGTTATTGTTGTTTACTATCCAGTCAGCTTTTTGATTATTGCAGTTAGTCTACGTTTATCACCCCTCCAAACCACTGCTCCCATTGAGCCAAGCGACCGTATGGTTACCAACAGATATCGGCTACATGTCCATGTTTTCTACATTATGTAGCTTTACCATGAAAACTCATCAACCATTCGAGTGTCACTTACTTTTGTGACCGCGTCATGATTGGCTTATACTACGGTCATCCATTTGGGGTTAGCGCATCCACTGTTAGTAGTTTAGCCATCTGCAATGTATGATTCGTCAGAGAGGAAAAACAATTATGCACAAAGAGACCACTTATGTATTCCAAGTGGTTGTCTGATTGTAGGACTTCGCCGACACCACCGACCTACCAACTTTCAATAATCCGCCTTCTCTATCTGTCCTTCTGGTGCTTGAAAGGACCTGTATGATGGATGTTTGCATAAATATCGTTGCTTTTCTCGCTTGGCTTTGATGTGCTTTTTCCAATTGCGTTTAACTTTTCTATCGGTTGCGTGTGGTGGGAAGCCAAGCGACCGTGATGGGCTGCTGCACAATACCAAATCGCCTAGTCGAACTCGTCCATCCACTGCATGCTCAAGTGCAACGTTACTGAGTGCAAACTTCTGAGCTTACGCCAGAAATTCTACAGAGGACTTCTCATGGGTGCGATCTCGGCATATTTGTGCCAGATTGCCTTGGTTGTTTGATGCCAACTGAAGGGGCATCAAAGAAAACAAACCAGCACTTCGGCCTTCTTAGT